TTTTTTTTTTTTTTTTTAAATACTATAAAAACTTTTGTTTATTTTCTTGGGTCATTTTTTTCTATTTGTTTATCTTGATTCTTCTCTGTCTCTTTTTCTTACAAAAATATCCTCACCCGAGGATATGCTTTTATTGATTTGGGGGGGAAGGGAGAGAGAAAACATCAGTGTTTGGTTGCCGCGCCGGACCACGGATCAAACCTGCAATCTAGGTATGTGCCCTGACTGGGAATTGAACCCAAAACCTTTTGGTGCCCAGGAGGATGCTCCAACCAACTGAGCCAGTGGCCAAGCAGATTTTTCTCTTTCTTATGTTGGTTTTTCTCAAATGCCTCACCGACCTTTCATATTTATGAATGAAGCACTGGCTTAATTAAATTTTTTAAGTGTCAGGGGACTGGGGCTGACAGGCCACAGAGTGACATGGAAAAGGTGAGGACTTCATGTTACCTACAGTTAGCCTGAGCCTTGAAGCAACATGGACATTTACATTATGAAGTAGCCAAAGGAACACATTCTGTAATAATTTATAGTTAATTTTAGACTAGCGAATACTTTTTAAAAATCTGTATTTCTATTACCTTTTATACTGGTATATAGACAGTAAATTCTTGCATATTAAGGACTACTTGTTGACTAAAAAGGTCTAATGAAAAGGAGCTTGCTAGAGCTTGCAAAATTGGTTAAACTTGAAAAGTTCTAACTTTATACTTTTCTGTTTAGAGAAGAACCAAAGACGATACATGGAAAGCAGATGACCTCAGAAAACACCTTTTGGTAATGTATTTAAGAGATTTGAGCTGGGTCCAATGGGACAGTTTTTCCTGGTTTTCAGCCTTGTACTACTTTGCTTCCATGTGGCTCATTTCAGGGGTGTTTTTGACTCAGAGGTAAAGCCATGTGGTTAGTAGCTCTGGGTCTGTGGTGGGAAAGCATTTCCTAGCCCAGCCTGTATCTCACCAGCTCTGTCCAGTGTCTGTTGTGGTTGAGAGCCCAGGCTGTGGGTGTAGGTGTGTGGTCTGTGCGTTGTGTGCATGTGCCTGTGTGTGGAGGGAGGCTTGGGGGTTGCAATGGAGACCCCCTGAGAAGTTTATAAGGAAGGTCCTTGTTCTTTGGGTGGGACCTGGGTGGGCCGTGTCTCAGAGACTGACACTTCAGTATCCTGTTCTTTTTTTTTCTAATCTGTGTGGTGTTTCAGATTTGACTTGGCAGCAAATGCGAATGTGCCTCATACGTGGGCGCTGGTCTTCAGTCATAGAAATGCTAAGTGTGACTCCACCTATGTGGCCGGGGGGTGGGGGTGGGCGACACACACACACAGTGGCATCCTGTGTTTTTTAAGGCCCTTCACTGAGCATACCTGTTTTGTCAGAAACTCCTTCCTTTCTCTTGCTCTAGGCTGCACAGTCAGGTACCCCCAGGGAAGACAAGAAACAGAAGGAGAAGAAGCTACACAAGGACTCAGAAACAGACATCCCAGAGTCCAAGGAGCAGAAGCCCAGGGGCCCAGACCGAGACACCAAGCGCAGAGAGAGGGTGGTGGACAGAGATGGCCACAGCTCCAGGGATCATCCTCATGGGGACAGAGACAAGGAGAAGCCACGGGAGAGGAGAAGGGACTCCCGGGACCCGGACAGAGAGAAGCTGAGGAACAAGGCCCGAGAGCATGACTCAGAGAAGCACCAGAGCCGGGGCAAAGACCGGGAGAGGGACCGAGAACATGACAGAGAGCACCACGTGCGGAGGGAGGAGCCCAAGCCTGCAGCCCCGCACCATGCCCTGCCTGAGCGCAGGATGAGATCAGGTGCGTGCCCTGAGCTGTGTAGTCCCCATTCCACGGCCTGTCATGTGGGGCGAGCTCCTCTGAAGTGCTCACTCCCCATGTCCTTGTCTCCCCCGGTTTTCAGACCTCTCCGCTTTGTATTTGGTTGTGTCCACCCTGAACTGTGCATTTTGCAAGGTGGTTTCCTTTTCTCTATTTTAAAACTCATTTTAGTGAATGAAAGGAGTAACTATTTTCTCATCATTTGCTAGAGTTTTACTGTTGAAACATATTCCAGATTAATTATCTCAATCTCAATCCATATTGTAGATAAACAAAAATTATGCTCTTCAGTAAAAGAATTCCTTGGAAGTGTCAGTTTTATTTTAAGCAATATTTGGCTATTTATCTGAATATTTAAACTGGTCCTCATCTTTTAAAGTGTTGATTCTCTTCATTTTAAGCCTAATGACTTTTGTCTGTGCCAATTCAAAAGTGAAAGTCTGGTGTTCACTGTTGGACAGAACTGTGTGTGTCGTGATTGTGTGTGGCTCTATTGGTCCCTATGGCCTCTCGAGTAAGTGGTGGGTGTGGGTGGGTGGCAGCAATGGACCATAGGTGGCACCCTCCTCACAGGGGCCTCCTGCCTCTGCAGCACCCTCAGCAGTGGGGTCCCCCACTCATGCCGAGGTAGCATTGACTCCCTTGCAGCTGAGCACTTGACGGAAATGTCTGCCCAATGGGGCCCGTTTTTCTGGACGACTTGTGCTGCCCTGAGCACCTCTGTCAGAGATACAGAAACCCTGAAGGTGTGCGTTTGGCTGGTGCCCCCAATTTCCAGTAGTTAGTTGTACATTGGCTAGGTTGCTTCAGTAGCGTTTTCCACTGTCATCTCCTTTACTCCATTTTAGTCTGGATTCTAGGACTTTCTGTTCTTGAGACTGTAGAATGTGTTCTAGTAGAATGTGTTTCCATGGGTTAATGCGTAGGGTTGTGATGCAGTATGTACAATAAAGACTGCAGCAAGATGTTAGGAGGCCTTTCTGATGTCTGAAGTTTGGGAATGTTAAAAGTATGTTTTCTTTTTGTAGTAAGTAAAGTCAGAACTGACGAGAAGGAGAGGAGAAATGAGGACTCTGAAAGAGACGAAGAGAGAGAAAGAAGATACCGAGAAAGGAAGGTACTGAGCCCAGGCCCCCAACACGGCGAGGTAGATGGCACGTTATCATTAGCATAGACTTCAAGGCCTGAGAAGACATCCGGGGGTAAACTATGCCTTTGATTGTAATGATGTCCTTATAATCACTTCTGGAAGTGTACTTGCTAGATCAGAGTCAATGTAGACGTCCCCATTCACCTGCATAGAGGCTGTAGGTATTTGTGGCATCAGGGCATCCCTGCGTCCTCAGCATACGTGTCCCGGGCGGTGGCATGACTCAGGAGGGTGGGCGTAGATGGCATTTGTAGGTTGGTGGCAGGTGTGTCCTTCTGCACTCTGGTGTCTGATACCTGTGGCACAGCTGGTCCCTGCCTACTGCATTTGTTTGCTTTCTAGCAGAATCTTTTTCATCTAAGGGCACTTTAAAGGTCAACTCTGTTCTCCATTGGTGTTGCTGCTCTCTGTGTGCTTTGAATTTCACTTGTGGAATTCTCCACATTTTAAGTTTAAAGTTATGAGGTAGTCGAGGTATAGAGCCCCTTCACCACACCAACATTGTAGAAGTAGTCCCTTGTGTTTTGTTCTGAGTCCTTGTAATTTTTTTAGCACTTAAATCTTTAGTTTCCATAGAACTTACTCTGGTGGTGGGCGTGTAGTCAATGAAACAGGAGTTTTGTCTGGGGCTTGTTGGTGTTTCTTGGGAAGAGTGGGTGGGGGCATAGGGACTGCCGGGATCCACCAGAGGAGAGCNGGAGTTTTGTCTGGGGCTTGTCGGTGTTTCTTGGGAAGAGTGGGTGGGGGCATGGGGACTGCCAGGATCCACCAGAGGAGAGGAGCATGGGGGATGGAGACAAGGGGAGCCATGCAGTCAGGACCCTCAACCGTGGAGCAGGCTACCAGGGAGTGCCGATTGGTGAGTGGAGGTTCAGTTTGGGATTCTGTAGGGACATGTTGATGATGTTCCCAGAGCCGGGAGTTTGAGCCCAAACACTATGCACTGACAACCTGTCCTGCATACCAGCAGCCACCACTTCTGATGGGTGTCACGTTACCACTGAGTGTCCATAGTGGTCTGGGGTACAGTGATGACTAAACCACAGTGCCCTGTCTTAGGAGTGTCCTTGTGGGTAGGGTGCAGGCTCGTGAACTGCCTCAGAGACAGCCTGTGATGAGAGGGGTCACAGGAGAGCCTGCATGCTGGTGCAGCTCGGGATGCGTAGGAGTTGCGGGGAGGGTAACAAGTGCAACAAGGAGGGATTAGAGGAGGCCTGAACTGTGCTGGGATGGGGACATGGTTCCCACATCAGGGTGAGGGCGGTGGGCTATAGGGTCGTGCTGTCCTATGGGTTTTTCTTTGCAGAGCGTATCATCAGAGTGCCTGTGTAGGGAGGTCCCTGCAGCAAGACAGAGGACCAGAGGACAGGGGGAGGGAGGGCAATGGTGGTTCCACCTTCCTCGCCTTTGTTGTAACGTGCACAAAAGACAGCGTGCATGTCTTCTGTGCTCATGCCCTTTTCACTGTGTTCCTTCATAGCTGCAGTATGGTGACAGCAAGGACAACCCCCTGAACTATTGGCTTTATAAAGAGGACGGGGAGAGGAGACACAGGAGGCACAAAGATCCGGATCGAGGAAAGAAGCATCAAGAGAAAAGCAGCACAAGAGAAAAAAGAGAGAAGTATTCAAAGGAAAAAAGCATTTTGCTCTCCAAAAATGAAGGGGAAAAAAGACACAAAGAGAAACGACATAAAGAAGGCTTTCACCTTGATGATGAGAGGCACCAGAGTAGCATGGACAGGAAAGAGAGGTCATCGAAAGAAGAGCACAGGAAAAGGGAGCCCAAGGTATGGGGTCTGGTGCTGCATGCCCTTGGCTGCCCTGAGCGGCACCCCTGCAGCAGAAGGCACGCTTAAGTGTCGCCATGGTGAGACCTGTGGGCTGAGCGCCATTGCCTTGTAAGATGCGATTCGTGTCTGTGTTGTGTGGTCAGTACATAGATTCCTGACCTAGGACACAGAAAGCACTTTCAACACATGTTCAGAAATCTATCATAAAGTTTTGAAATTTAACGTAGAGGAAGCTGATATTTTATTTAGTTAGTAAATCCTCACCCAAGGATGTTTTTTTCCATTGATTTTTGGAAAGAGAGGGAGGGAGAGAGAGAGAGAGAAACCTCGAGGGGATAAAGACACATCAAATGATTGCCTCCCCGGGGCCAGGAATCAAACCTGCAACCAAGGTACGTGCCCTTAACCGGTAATCGAACCCGAGACCCTTTAGTCCACAGGCTGATGCTCTAACCACTGAGCAACACCGGCCAGGGCCCCATGTCTCCCTTTTTAAACAGCCTACCTTTGCATGTTCATTTCTACAATCTAATGCTTTTTATTTTAAAAAGTTTATTAATGTAAGAGAAGATTGTTTAAATTTTTTTCCTACAGGTGCATGGATCTATGAAATAGCCACATTTCATGTTTGAAGTTAAATTTAAGCAGTGTAATGATCTAGTCCTACTCTTCCAAAAAGAATGTGGAGTTGAAAAGTAGAACTTTCTCTTACTGAGCTAATGCATCTCTTTTAGGATATCTAACTTTATTCACCCCCTTACATAATTATCTAATTGACTAAAAACACCCATGGCCTAGTGCTGCTGTTAAATTTTGAGTCTCTGCTTGTTTTACAGGTTATTAATTACGGTTAATTGATCACGATTTACTGATTAATGGTCATGGAACTTTTTTTCTTTTATAGAATGGTGAACACAGAAACCAAGGTGGGAGTTCAAAGAGAGACTCGACTGGTGGCCAGTAAGGAATGCGCATCCTTCTGTTGATTATTAAGTATAACACAGAATGCTTTAAACTGAGTTTTTCTTATTGGGCCTAATTATAGCCAGTAAATGGCAATAAATTATTGACAGACTTCGCTTGCTCAGCCCTCCAAATTATATCTCAGGTGCACTAGGTAACTTGGAAACTGGTTACGAGTTATCGGTCCTATTTTGCCTTTTTTAATATTTGCTCATACAAAATTAGGAAATTAGAACTCACTTTGGGGAGTAACTCATTTAGAAGACAGCCCCTCCATGCAGGACCATCCCGCCTGGGAGGGTAGAGCATCTGCAGGGTGCTGTTGGTCCACATCCGATAAACATGTGACATGCCACATATGCCCCAGCCCTGGTCTGTGGCCGCAGTGAGGCCCTGCCAGTATCTAGAGTGAGGGCGTTGCACCAGCCAGCAGGAATGGCCTGTCTGCCACTCTCTGGGCCTTTTCTTCACTGAAATGGTACCTTTCTGTGTGTGGGTCTTGTGAAGATTACAGATTAGAGTTTGTGTATAACCTTATTTTGTATATAAGCTGTAAATTTTAATTTGTTCTTTGTGGCAACCGTATTTGGTAATTCTTTTTCACAGATTAGGAAAACGCAGCTAGGTGCCTTGCCTGAGTTTTTACAAGTTTGAGCAAAGGCAGCACTTAAACCCTGGGGGCACATTCCTAGCCTTTGTACTGCAGTCAGATGGACCGCACAGGGAGACTGTGCTCAGCCATCTCGTGGTCCACATGCCACAGTGAACTGGGGTGAATGTACATACCAAAAATTGAAAATCAATTTCAAAATGTGAAAGCCTTAATTTTAGGTACCAAATAACATAGAGCATATGATTAAAAAAATAGAACATTTTAAGATAAATCTTTCTTTTGGAAATTCAAGTATTTTATTAAACCTAAAATAACATTTGGGATTGACTAATATAATTACAGGAATTTTCTAGAATTCATATAAGGATGTAGATTCACAGGAAAGTTTGTTAAAACAGTTTTTTCTATCTGAAGATATCTTGTGTCTCCTCTGGTTACTGTGAAATAGTAAACATGCTGGGAAGACTTTAGCATTCACAGTTCTAATAAAGCTCACTTTAGAAACTTGCCACCTAGAGCAGTTCTTAACCTCGTCAGATATTGAGAAGATCCTTCGCTGACACGTAGAATGTTTTATTTTTTAAATTAATTTTGGTTTAATTAATTTTGGTCATATTTTCTTTCTAGGCATGCAGAGGGTGTAGTGAGGAACAGTGGAAGAGATCAGGACTCGAGAAGGAAGGTACGACCTTTGCGTTGATCTCACTGCAGTCAGGTTAGCTGGCATCTCCGTTTTCCTGATGGTTCACTGGAGTGCTGATTCCTGGAGGCACATAAGAGACATTCTAGATTAAAAAACTGGAGCAGGTGACATTCAGACGGGCCGTGTGTGTGTGTGTTCCTGACCGAGCAAACGTAGGGAAGTGTTCATGGGTAGGACACGGAATAGGGAGAGGCCGTGCTAAAGTTTGGAATTTATTTGTATGACACTTTTTTTCTTTAGCCATCAGAATTACTGAAGTTTTTCGAAAAGGATATGTTTATTAACTGCTTTCTCTTTTTGGTCATACTAATGAGGTAGCAAATTCTTAAAGAATTTGAAGGTAGGTTGTTAGTTTTATACTTACATTTTTAAGTCAGCAACTTCAAAGGAATTTCAGAATACATGTATTTCCCAGCCTATTTGTAAAGTTCAAATTTATGGTTGAATTTTTTTGTTATGTGTCTGATTTTTACCTGTAGGAAGCTGAAAAGGAAGACATGGACTTAGAAAATGTTAACTATACAGCCAGTTTTGAAGATGATTTTGAAGTATGTATAAACATTACCATTTTTCTTGGCTTAAAATAATTCTTAAAATCAGCTTTAGTAACTTATGGCACTTTTTCTTTACTACTGTTAAGATTCCACATCTGTTTAAGTCTGTTATCTGTAAAAAGTTTGTTATACGTCTACCAATGCTGACCAGTGTGATGTAATTAATGACATTATAACTTAACCCGTTAAGGGCAGTGCATCCAAACATGTGCATGTGTGTGTACACGCGTGCACATACGTGCAGGTGTCACGCGTGCACGTGCAGGGCCCCGCAGGACGGGCGCACCTGCTCGGGGGCACTCGGCGCGCAGGCCTGTGGGTGCGGCCCGTTTCGGGGAGCGGCGCGGCGGTGCGCAGACTCGTGT